TCCTAGCCATCAGAACAATTAGGTGGCTTAACTTTGATCCTAAAGAGCTATAGAAAAGAGATGTAATGGCAAGTTAGATTCTTAAGAGTACAGAAACGTTTGAATCTGTAGAAATCATATATGATAAAGTTCTACCAAACAAATTGTTCTCCTTTTAAATTTTCCACCTAAGATTCATCATTTTAATTTAACCCTGCAACTTAAAGTTTCAAATTCTCAAGTTTGATTTTTTTAATTTGCATTCTTTGTTATTGAATTAAGCACAAAATTTAACTGTTTTTGAACCTTAATGTATATTGTTGCAAAAAATCTCCGAATAACAATAAATAATATTATAAGAATATACATATATGATTCTAAATGTATCAGTTTAACTTCTCCTCCTTCTTCACAAGAAAAATCAGCTTGTGATTTGCTGTCGCTCTTCATGCCTTAAAATAATCTTCTTAATTATTAATTGTTTTCTCTTCTTTTTCTGATTAACAAACTTAACACAATTTTCAAAGAGTTTTTCATTTTATTGCTTAGACTCTTGTTTAGATTAGAATATTATTAAATTCTCGTTTTGGGCAAATCAGCATAATAAACGATGCCTTCTAAATTACATTTATTTTCTGCATGGCGAAGTTTTTATTTCTATCATGTATATGTTTGCCTTTATAAATGAGTATTTTTCAAGTATAGATGATAATTGCTCCCATGTTCATTTATCAGATCATACATTGAGATCAATAAACTAACATCTCTTTCATCAATGTAATTTTGATCCATATTATTTATCCTAATCATTTATATCATCCATGTGCTCACTGCATTTCTCTGAAAATTAATATAATCTATCGAAGAAAATCAACCCTTATGTTTCTGCTTACTTGCTAGATTCATACCTAATCTTCTCAAACGCTAATGTTTTCTTCATTAATATTACTCTGTATTAGAGAATAAGTCAAATTTGATGCTTGGGACTAATCAATTATGATTTTAACCTTTATCCTATATTCAACGCGTCTACTTCTATATTTATTCATAAAGTTATTAAATTAATTCAAATTAATTTAATTGATTGTTCTGATTATCCTACTGATTTGAATTAAAAATTTTAATAAATATTAAGCTAATTATTTTGAGCAGATTCTTCTTAGGGTTTCTTATTGATAAAACTAATATATCAAATTATTATTATTAAATAATTTATTTGCCATTCTCTCTCATAATGTCTTCCAATATCTTCTAACGGTAAAAGGAAATTAAGAAAGCTGTTGAATACAATGTAAAGAATGCGGTATATCTAATCAAGTTTCTGAATGATATGTTGTTTTTCTCCATTGTTATTCTAAGGTCAATAAAAAATGAACAGCCATCATATAAACCAAAGGAATTTTTTCAGGTTTAACCAAAAGAACAAACACTGTTTAAAAAAATGATGACATCCTTTGAGCTTCATTTAACAATAATTAGTAGCAATTTAAAAACTCAATTTAAAATTTAGGTGATGTAAAATTAACTATATTCAAATATATATATAT